GTGAGACCTGCCGGCCCGGCACCCAGGCCCGAGCCTCCGCCCGTGGGGCCCACGCTTCGCGGGGGCCGTGCCTGTCCTCCACGGCGTCTGACGGTTGTCGCTGCTGTTTCAGTTGAGGAAACACTAATTCTCGAAGATGCCCTGCCCTCGGTCATGGGGACTGGTGCACAACATGCACGGTGTGAAAAAAGAGCCAAGGAAAACGAGGAGACGCTTCCGGAAAGAGGAAAGGTCGCGGCAGCGCCTGCAGCGTGTGGGCTGGCCATCAGCTCTACTGCGTGGAGGACGCGGGCGAACGCACAGCGGGAGGGGGCGCTTTACCTCGGAGCATCTTTTCTTCCAGCTTCAGTAGATGAGAGTAAGATATGAAGGTAATGAGACTGCTGCGGAGATGAGGTCTTTTCCTCCTTGGCTTTGCGGGTTGGCGGAGTAACGGGCTGGTAGGAGTGTAATTTGTGGGCCAGAAATGACTCTGGCAAGAGAAGGACAGACAGGCGGAGCCGCTGGTGCCCGTGAGCCCGGCATCCTGACCTGCAGCCACGCTGCGGGACCACCCCCGGGGCTCCCCCAGGACCAGCCCCTCAGGGCCGACAGTGCAGAGGGCAGGTCCCTCCCTGCAGGGAAGGGAGGTGGGACAGTCAGCCAGGGTGGCCGTGAGCCTGCAATGCCCCCTTAGTTCCGTCGGACAGGGAGCCGGGGGCTTCTCTTTTTGCCACGCGGAGCTGGGAGGGGCGCGTGGAGAGGCCCAGGGGTGGGGCGGCCCAGAGCCGGCAGGACCGTGTTGGGGGGACGGGGGCCTGGTCACACCTCCAGAGGACTCCTCGTCTTTTGGTGCCTGGACCCCTTTGAGAGCTGGTGGAACTGATGGACATGCTCAGGACAGTGTTTTTAGGTTCATAAGCTGAAATACAGAGAGTTACAACAGGAACCAAATCTACTGAAATAGAGCCGTGAAGACGTTAAAAAGCCACTCGTGATCACGTTACGCGTGACGCTCTGTTACGGCTCCAGCCGGCCCCTCGTGCTGGAGTGTGGGTTCCCCGAGCACACGTGAGCGTGAACGGTATTTCGAGACAGCATGCTCAACGGCCCCGTGATGAGAAGCTGCTGCGCTTCCCACGGGGGACCGAGGCTCAGCAGAGGCGCTGTCCGCGGTCACAGTCGGGAGAAGCGCTCAGCTTCAGTCAGAGGCTGGTGAAACCTGAGGAGCTCTTTCCACCCTGATTGCAGAAGTTCCAGATGACTCTCCTGCCTCTCAAGCATCTGGGCACCTGCCCTCTGGACAGGACAGTGCATGTTCTCTGAGCTGGAAGGTCATTCCGGGGGGGTGAACGCGGCTGCCTGTTTTAGGGACGGCGTTGGGGTGTCCCGTGCCCAGTGTCGCCAGCAAAGCTGCCTGTGAGAAGAGACTACCCGGAGTGGGGAGGTCGGCTCGGCGGGCCCAGGAGCAGGCGGGTGGGCACGGCCATGGTTCCCGTGCTCCGGCAGTATTTCCTTGTCACTGAATCAGGGCTCACGAAACTGCCAGCACAGACGGAGGGACGTGGACAAAGTGCACTCACAGGGACCTGTGACGACAGGACAGCCGGCGCCTGGCGTCCCTGCATTTCATTCAGAAATCCTGAGTCGCAGGGTCCTCCCCTCCTGGATCACGTCGGATGCTGAAGGAAGGCAGGTCTGGCCCGATTCCCTGGGCGCCTTGTGCCCAGAGCTGGGCCCCACTGGTGTGAGATGGGCACCGAGGAGTGAAACAGCACAAAGGCCCCCAGGGTTCTCTGAGGACCCCACTGCAAGTACTGGGGTCACAGAGCCCCCACAAGGAGCTCCATATAGCGGGGGGGCCAGCGGGGCAGGTGGGCCAAGGGAGGACCTTGGGAGGTGGTGGGGGTAGGGCGGTGCTGTGGGGGTGGCTTGTGGGGCTGTAGGGAACAGAGGTCCAGGCTGGGGGGCTCTGGCCATTCTGCAGACCATGGGAGCCACTGCACCAGTGAGCGGAGGAACCCACTGGCCATCTGCACGTGGGGCCTGGGGAGGAGATGTACACAGTCAGGGTCACCTGGTCGTTCTCTCTTCTGCACCCCACGTGTCCCCACCCCAGGGCCTCTGCACTGGCTGCCCTCAGCCCAAAAGCTCTTCCTCCCGAGATCCTCATCGCTGGCCTGTAGTTTTATCTTGAAATGCTATGCATGCAGCAGCCCCTCTGTGACCTCCTTGTTTAAGATGTGAGCTCATGTCCATTTCCAGCTTGAATTTCCTCCTTCGTAACTAGTCGCCACCAGGCACTCTGTGAAGAGGGGCTCTGCGCTGCTCGCTGCTCGGTTCTGCGCCCGGAGCAGGGCCTGGCGCACAGCAGGTGCTCAGCCAGCGTCGGCGGGTGGATGGACTTCGAGGGCGCGGTTACGGCCCTGGGACTCGTGCTCTCCAGACTTTGGGGCCACACGGAGAGTCTCTTTCCCCCAATTCATCCAGCTCCCGGTTGCTGGCGCTATTCATGAAACTTATAACCTGATCCTTAATTCCCTTTTCTCATTTAATTATTGTTCTAATGGTGCAGTTGGTAAAGGAAAGAAACATTGTATGAAGTGAAATGAAATCAAGACATTATAGATGCTCAAATGCAGATGTCTGCAGCAGACGCAGCACACGGAGCCCTCAGGCCTCCGGACCCAGGGTCTCAGGGTGGAGGGTCCGCCAGCTCCAGCCCCAGCCCGCCCTGCCACGTGGGGCTGAGTGAAGCCCCCAGGTAAGCGCCCAGTCCCGCCTGGAAGGCACCTCTCCTTCACTGTAACTCGCTCCAAATAGTGGGCAGACGGTGGGTTTAGAAGTGAGTTCTGTGTTTCTATCTTTATTTGCAGGGGAAAGTCAGCTGAACTGCAGGAAATTTGATTTTAAGGGTTAGAAATGTCGGTATTTGCGTCGTGCGCCCTGCTACCTCTCTGATTTCTGTGCGTTATTCAATCCCTTGAAACTTCAGTGTTCTCATCCATTAAATGGGCGCAATAAATCCCAGCCTTTCAGTCTCACTGCAAAGATTAAACAAGACACAGAGGGCAGCTAGACCGGCTCATGGCCACCACTTAGCAGCCTGGGTTCTTTTAGCCTCAGTGCCGCTCGGAGCACGGGTTCCTGGTGGCTCCACCAAGATCACACACAGCACGTTCCCCTCTGTAACCGTTCACAAGGCCCACTCGCACCGGGAGCTGGCTCAAACGACCGGCGTTGCCGGAGTCAAATGAGTCGTGGGCAGACGCCACCCTCGGGCCTCCACGCTGTGCGCCCCAGGCCCCCGCGCACGCAGCCCCCACGTCCACTGAGCCGCTCCACTCGCAGCCACCCAGGCCCCTGACAGACCCGAGTCGTGCGCTGCAGCCCGTGTCCTCCAGCAGAGGGGTCTCTGGCACTCGTGGGACGAGACGAACACACAAAAAAGAAGCTCAGATCGACCCTCCAGGCCAGAGCTCGATGTGGCCCCGCCTCTCAGCCCCCAGCCCCCCGCCCCCATCCGTCCACCCTCCAGAGCTGGGACCCCAGGGCAGCACCGGGCAGCGGCCCGCCGCGTCCCCTGGAAGGACATCTGGGGTCTCTCACTGTCCCTGCACAGAGGCACCGCTAGCGGGTCCTCCTGGGGTCAGGATAGGGGGGCGGTGACAAAGGAAAACACTAAGAGTCCCTCCACTCACTAGACAAAATCCAGTCAGTACAGAAAAGCGCAGGGAGCGGCGAGAGGCCAGGGCTCTGTTCTGTGAGCAGCCCGGGCCCAGAGCCCTGGAGGCCAGAGCGGGAGCCCGAGGGCTGGGGTGTCCGGGTGCCCTGAGCACACGGCGAGCGAAGGGGCCAACGAGGGGCTGCCTCCCTCTGGTCTGGCTGGGGTATCGCGGTTGGGGAACACAGGATCTTTCTGGATGAACGCTTCCCACGTGCTGGAGGAAATGTTTCACAACCTGGGCTCCGCGAAGGCGCAGGTGGGTGTCTGCCTGGAAAGGGCTGGACACCGGTCCCGTCGGAGGCTCTCGCGCCGGACCGCACGCTCGATGACCCACTGGGACAGGCCGTTTCCTCCAGTGGAGCGTGGACCTGGGATGAGCTCATACGGGTGGGCTAATCAGTGCCTGAGGCATGTGGGCGAGCCTTTCACGAGGCAGACACCCCTCTGCTCGCCGTGCTCAGCTAGTCTCCCGTCCCCGGTCCTG